AATACTGAAAGTTCCATGGGCTGCCAGAAGAACTAACAGATCTGTCCTGGAAGAAGTGCAGCCGGAATGCTCCTTGGAAGCGAGAATGGCTAGACTTTGTCTCACCTACTTTGGTCATGTTGTCAGAAGGGACCATTCCCTGGAGAAGGATGTCATGCTTGGTAAAGTGGAGGGTCACCGAAGAAGGGGAAGGCCCTCAACAAAGTGGACTGACACTGGCTGCAAGGATGGGCTCAGGCCTAGCAAGGATTGTGAGGCTGGTGCAGAACCGAGCAGTGTTTCGTTCTGTTGTACACGGGGTCGCTGTGAGTTGGAACTGACTCTGTGGCACCTAACAACAACAACCCAAGAAGACTGAAGAAAAATTGACACTGATGTATGATTTATGGTCTTGGGTGGCTTTTGCCAATGTAAATGAGGTCCGTAGACCACTTGGGGAGTGGGGTGGGACTATGCAAGCAAGGTATGTGGAACCCTTGTAGGGGATTGGTTAGTTCGAGGTCTTGCTGGGGCTGCAGCCTGCCTTGGAATTAATAAGGGCTTGCTATATAACTAGCTTCCCTGACAGAGGTTTTAGGGAGAAACATGGAAAGAGAAGACGGCTGTGACACCGAAGACCACAGAGACTGTGTGGCAAGACCAGTAGTGGTGAGAACCAGGAGACCAGTGCAAGACTACCATGATGGGCTTCATGGCCTGACCAGGGCCTGTGGCAGCAGGCCGAGAAGAAGCTGTCCTGCCTGAAGAACTGCGTCCTGAGTGCTTTATTTTCAAGTTGTTCCTGATCCTGCTTTGTAATCTGTTACTTCCTTAATAGACTCCATAATCATAAGTACGGTTGGTGAGTTCTGTGAGATGTTGCAGCAAATTACAGAACCCAAAGACAGGAGGAGGAGCTCTGGTAGCATAGTGCCTAAGGCATTTGGCTGCTAACCAGAAGGCTGTCAGTTCAAATCCACCAGCCACTTCTTGGAAAGAAGGTTGGGCAATCTACTTCCGTAGTGATACTGCCTTGGAAACCCAAGGAGGGGTCACTACAAGTTGGATCCGACTCGGCAGTGGTTTTTTTTTTTTTAAAAAAAGACAGGAGGGAAAGTACTGGGGGAAGGAGGAGGAATTGGCGTTTGAGATGATGGAGTGGTACGGCAGTTTGGAGAAGCTGGATATTTGGGACATCTCTAACCTCTGCCTTATAGCATCCAGTTTTGTGCTGATTCTTATAAAAGAAACTATTTCGTTGACTTTCCCATCACCAAAACTAGCAAGTGTCCGGATCTCAAAACCTGCTATACAGCCACAGTAGTCAAAACTGCCTGGTATTGGTACAATAACAGACACATAGACCAATGGAATAGAATTGAGAACCCAGAAATAGATCCATCGACCTATGGTCAGCTGATCTTTGACAAAGGACCAAAATACATTAAATGGGGAAGAGAATGTTTGTTTAATAAATGGTGCTGGAAAAACTGGAGATCCATTTGCAGAAAAATGAAACAAAATCTATACATCACACCATACACAAAAACTAACTCCAGATGGATCAAAGACTTAAACGTGAAGCCTAAAACTATAGAGTTCCTCAAGGAAAAACTAGGGGCAAATTTAGGGGCCCTAATATATGGCATAAATAGACTATCAAGCATAACCCAAAATACAAAACTAGCAAGTGTCTGCTAACTCCAGCCGGCCTCCTCCCTTCCCCTCAAACCACCCATGAGCAGCTCTGTACATATGTCAGTTCTTGTCTTCGTATAAAAGTGCAATCATACAGTATTTTCCTTGTGGTTGACTTATTTCCCTCAGCATAATGTACTCCAGGTCCATCCACCTTATGTTTCAAGCCCTCATCATCTTCTTTAAGGCTCTGTGCTCTTCATTGTTTATCCGTTCATCCACCGATGGGCATTTAGGTTGTCTCCATTTGGGGGCTACTGTGACTAATACTGCAATGAACATATGTGTGCATATATCTGTCCATGTCTCTAATATTGAATCTCTAAAATGTATACCAGGGAACTCTGGTGGCACAGTGGTTAAAGGATTGGGTTGCTAACCAAATGTCAGCAGTTCGAACCCACCAGCTACTCTGTAGAAGAAACAAGAGACAGTTGGCTCCCATGAAGATTGAAACTCTATGGGCAGTTCTACTCTGTCTTCTAGGGGTGCTGTGAGTTGGAATCAACTCGATGACACTGGATTTGGTTTGAGTTTTGCTTCCATAAAGATTTACAGCCTTAGAAACCCTGTGGGGCAGTTCTATTCTGTCCAAAGGATCGCTATGAGTTGGAGTTGACTCAGCGGCAGTGGATTTGAGTTTTGGTAAGGTACATACCTCGAAATGGGACTGCTGAGTCATACACTATTTCTATTTCTAGCTTTTTGAGGAAGGCCCATACCATTTTCCATAGTGGTTATACCATTTTACAGTCCCACCAGCAGAAGATAAGGGTTCCATTCTCCCCACATCTCTGACAACATTTGTTGTTTTCTGTTTGTTTACTTTTAATAGAGCCATTTTTGCCCAAGTGAGATGATACTTCATTGTGGTTTTGATTTGCATCTCTCTAATGGCTAATAGGGAGTTCTGGTAGCATAGTGGCTAAGATACTTGACTGCTAACCAGAAGGCTGGCTGTTCAAACCCACCAGCCACTTGTCAGAAGGAAGACTGGGCAATCTACTTCCATGGTGATACCACCTCAGAAACCCAAGGAGGGGTCGCTATGAGTCAGATCTGACTCAACAGCAGTGAGTTTGGTTTTTGGAATGGCTAATGATCATGGGCATCTTTCCATGTGTTTGTTAGCCCCTTGACTATCCTCTTTGGTAAGTGTCTGTTCATGTCCTTTGCCCATTTTCAAATCAGATTGTCTTTTTTCTTGTTGACTTTTGATAGGGTTCTCTAGGCTGTGTTCTGTATGGAAGCAGATCACTGGGTCTTTTCTCCTGTGGAGCCACTGGGTGGATTTGAACCACCAACCTTTTGGTTGGCTGCCAAATGTGTAACAGCTGTGCCACCAGGGCTCCTTATGAGGGATATGCTTATGCTAAAAAATCATCCATAGATTAGCTGAAGTTCATATTTAATTGGATAAAATAAATCACAGACAAACCATAGATGATTGTATTTTTAGCATGAGTATATCCCCAATATTGCATGTGACATATTTATACTAAAAAATGTATTTTGTTTTATATATATAATCTGAAATTCAAATTTAACTGGGCCTCCTGGATTTTTCTTTGCAAAATCTCGCAAACCTATCCAGGGAGGACAGAGTGAGGGATACAAGGATGAGAGCAGGGAGGCCAGGGAGGGGTGACTGTGCTGGTCCAGGTGGATGATGATGGGGTATCAGGTGAAGATGGAGGCAGAGGAAGGTAGATGAGGGTAGATTCTGGACAGATTTTGAAGAAAGAACCCCTATGACTTGCTGGAGATTGGGATGTGGGCCAATGTGTAGGCCCTTTGCTGGAGGACTTGGGCTTTTCCCCCAAGTGAGGAGACAGAGTTGGAGCCTCTTATGGACTGAATTGTGTCAGTCCTGGAGGGTTGCGAGCAGAGGAGGGACCTAACCTGACTTAGGTAAGAGACAGAAGATCACACCTGGGGCTTAACAACAACCTGTCCCTGTGGATTGTCCTGGCCCTTGGATTCTCATCATAGGGGCTGAATAATTCCTGTCTTGGGGGACTTGTGTATGCATTGTGGAACACTGAACAGCATCCCTAACCTCTGCCCACTAGATCACAGTTGTTAGTTGTCATCAGGTTGGCTCTGCCTCATGGTGACTTCCAGGGCAGCAGAACAAGACATTGCCTGGTCCTATGCCATGGTCTGCTCAAGTCCATGGTTGCACCCACTGTATTTCAAGTGCCTTCCAACCTGGGGGGCTCATCTTCCAACACTGTATCAGCTAATGTTCTATTACAACCCACAGGGTTTTCTCATTGGCTGATTTTTGGTAGTACTGGATCACCAGGCCTTTCTCCTTCATCTCTCTTAGTCTGGAAGCTCTGCTGAAATCTGTCCACCACGGATGCCCTGCTGGCCTGTGAAATCTCGGTGGCATAGCTTCCAGCATCGCAGCCACACACAAACCACCACAGTGTGACACGCCGACGGGTGGGTGGATGTCGGAAGCAATCTCCTAACTCCTAGTCGTGACAACCACAAACACCTGCAGACATCAATGAGCATTTCCTGAAGCACTCTGGAGGAGAACTTCTGTTTCAGGTACTGTAGGAGGTCAGAGAAGATGGAAACAAGACAGGGAGGGTAAGACCTTGAGGAGATGGAGTTGGAGGCTGTTATGGACTGAACTGTGTCCCCCAGAATACGTGTTCTAAGTCATGACCCCTGTACCTGTGGTTATCATCCCATCTGAGAATGAGTTTCCTTTATGGCTTTAATGCAGCAGTATTAGCATAGCAGGTGTCTTAAGTCCGTCTCTTTTGACATATAAAAGAATAGATTAAGCAAGCAGTCAAGGAGGATGGATGCTATGCCACATGAGATCTCCAAGGAGACAAGAAACAAAAGCCATAAAGAGAACCTTCTCCTGGAGCCAGCGCCCTGCATTCAGATGTGTAGCCTCCTAAACCGTGGAAGAATAAGTCTGTTCATTGAAAGCACCCCATTGTGGCATTTCTGTTACATAGCCCCAGAGAACTAAGACACTACCCTAACCAGGGCCAGGTCCCAGAAGACCTTTTTAGTTCCCTCCTGGCATGCAATGGTCTTTCTTGTAGTGGGAGAAAAAGATGCATACCCCACTGGAGTCTGGGGACACTACAGGCACCATGTAGGGGCAGTGGTGGTTCAGTGGCAGAATTTTCGCCTTCCACGCAGGAAACCCAGGTTCAATGCCCAGCCAGTGTACCTCATGCAGCCACCAGCTGTCTGTCTGTGGAGGCTGGCATGTTGCTGGGGTGCTGAATAGACGTCGACCGAGCTTCCAGGTACAACAGACTAGGAAGAAAGGCCTGGAGACTGACTTCTGAAAACCAGCCCGTGAAAAGCCTGTGCCTCTCAACAGGGTGACCTGCAACTATGGTTGTTACGGTCGTGTGTCAATTTGGCTGGGCCATGGTCTGAGTGCTTGGCAGCTGGATGTAGTTATTCCCCATGATGGGATTGTAATCACCTCCATGGTGGAATCTGCTGTGAGCACCTACGTAGTTGCCTTCAGGGCGTGGCCTGCTTCCAGTGTGTATGGAGAAGCTTTGGGAAAGGGCTCTAGCTTTTTGGCACGTTTAGATCCTGCATTTGGCTGAGTCTTCATCTCCAGTTCCTGGATTTGAACCAGGGGACTGCTGGATTGCCTGTCGCTCTTGGAATTGTTTCTGGACTTGAACCAGTGGCCTGCTGTGTTGCCTGCTGACCTTGGGGACTGTGCCATTTTACCTGCCAATCTTGGGTTCATCAGTCTTGGCAGTGGTAGCTGCTCCAGTGGGCCTAGAACAAGAGGCGGAGCCCAAGGTCAGGGGCTTTCACCCATCTCCTAGAGCTGGCACTCTGAATGTAGTACTTCTGGTCTCCTAAAGTGTCACAGAATAAATTCCTGTTTGTTAAAGCTACCCACTCATGGTATGTCTTGAGAACCAAGACAGCAGCTTGGGGATGGGGCAGGAGCAGGCAGTGTTTCATTCCATTGTGTGTGGGGTCACTGAGAGTCAGAGGCAACCACACAGGCAACATGCCACCCACTTCAGGGCTCACCTGAACATCCCCTGCAGGACAAAAGGAGGAGGACTGGCAGTAGAGTCTGATAAAGCTTTTAATATTTAGAAGTTAGAGCAGTTAACTCTGTGATCCCGGCTCCTCCCCATCCAGCAGCTGGCAGCTGGTGATGATGATGGGAACCTTGGCTTTGACAGTGGTCAGGGACCAGGGCAGGTGGACAGTGATGACCAGCTCGTACTGTGTTCTCATGATCTCGCTGTCTTGCTGGCGGCTGCTACTGCTTACCGACAGGACCAGGGGCAGGTGGAAGGTATTGACGACCTTGGTGGTATTGAAGGGTGTGATGTGGGTGTGGGCCTCCTGCCGTAGCAGCTCACTGCAGTCTCTGCACGTCCGCTGCTCAGTCTTGGGCGTGAAGCCCTCGTATTGCACATGGGCGTAAAGGGCGAAGAGGACTGTCTTGATGCACTTGCTGGTCTGGTTGTTGATCTCGGTTGTGAAAATGACTCTGTCTCCTGGCGTAAAGATGTTCTTCTCCATATAGATTTGCAGGTGGACGGTGCCATGGCTGCAGCAGTTATAAGACACCCTCTTCTTAGCCTCGACCAACAGAGGGTTCTAGAAGAAAGAGGAAGAGAGACCCATGAGGAATCATGGCCATGAGATCCACTCACCTACCTGCCATCCCACCATTATAACTCTTCAGACTCTTGGGGGTTTGCTGCTGTTGTTTCATGCTGTAATGGATTGAGCTGTGTCCCTAAAAAACATGTGTCAGCTTGGCTGGGCCATGAGTCTCAGTGGTTCAGCACCCATGTGATGATGAAATCATTCCCCATGAGGTGATCTGATGTGATCAGCCAATCAGTTTGTCTTGGTTGTCTAGTACCACTATAACAGAAGCACCACAAGCGCATGGCTTTAACAAACAGGAATTTATTCTCTTACACTTTAGGAGGCTAGAAGTCTGCATTCAGAGTGCCGGCTCCAGGAGAGGGGTGAAGGCCCCCCGACCTGGGCTTCAGCTCTGCCTCTTGTTCTAGGCCCATTGGAGCTGCAGGCTTCTTCTGACTCATGCAGCTACCGGCTGCTGAGGCTGACAAACCCAAGATCGGCAGACAACACAGCAGCTCGCTGGTTCAAGTCCAGAAACTGGAGATAAAGACTCAGCCAGATGCAGGATCTAAACGTGCCCAAAAGCTACAGCCCTTTCCCAAAGCTTCTCCATATACACTGGAAGCAGGCCACGCCCTGAAGGCGACTACTTAGGTGCTCACAGCAGATTCCACCATGGAGGTGATTACAATCCCATCACGGGGAATAACTACATCCAGCTGCCCAGCCACTCAAACCACAGCCCGGCCAAGTAGACACACAGCCTTAACTACCACACAGGTGTCAGGGGATAGGGTGGGATGCAATACCCTCACTCAGGTTACAGGCCTGTATGGGGAGTTTCCCTGGGGTGTGGCCTGGATCACCTTTTATCTTACAGGAGATAACAGGAGAGAGAAGCAAACGGAAAGAGGGACCTGACTGCCACCAAAAAAGAGGAGCCAAGAGTGGAGGGTGTCTGTGGACTCAGCGCTCTGGTGTGAGAACCTCCTAGGTGCAGGGGAAGATTGGTGCCAAGACATGTGGATGGCTCCAAGGACCTTCCTTTAGAACTGACAGAAAGAGAAAGCCTTCCCCTAGAGCTGGCACCTTGAATTTGGACTTCTAGCCTCCTATACTGTGAGAGAATACATTTCTGTTTGTTAAAGCCACCACTCTGGTATTTCTGTTATACCAGCACTTGTTGTTGTTAGGCGCTATTGAGTCGGCTCCAACTCATAGCAACCCCATGTGCAACAGGACGAAACCCTGCCCGGTCCTGTGCCAGCCTCACAGTCTTTGCTGTACCTGAGCCCATCGTGGCAGCCACTGTGTCCGTCCATCTCATGGAGGGCTTTCCCCTTTCTCGCTGACCCTCCACTTTACCGAGTATGACATCCTTCTCCAGGGAACGGTCCCTTCTGACAGCATGACCAAAGTAGGTGAGACAAAGTCTGGCCATTCTCGCTTCCAAGGAGCATTCTGGCTGCACTTCCTCCAGGACAGATTCGTTCGTTCTTCTGGCAGTCTGTGATATTTTCAGTATTTTTTGCCAGCACCATAATTCAAAGGCATCAACTCTTCTTTGTCTAGCTCTCACATGCATATGAGGTGACTGAAAATATCATGGCTTGGGTTAGGCTCACCTTAGTCCTCAAAGTGACATATTTGCTCTTCAGCATTGGAAAGAAGTCCTTTGCAGCAGATTTGCCCAGTTCACATCATCTGATGTCCTGACTGTGCTTCCATTGGTGTTTTTTGTGGATCCAAGAAAAATGAAATCTTTGACAATTTCAATCTTTTCTCCATTTGTCATGATGCTGCTTATTGATCCAGCTGTGAGGATTTTCTTTATATTGAGGTGTAATTCATAC